CCCCCCCCCCCCCCCCCCCCCCCCCCCCATCTGTTTGAACTAAAAGAAAAAAAAAAAAAAAGGATGTGTATTCAAATGATCCTTTTTCCAATTTTAAGGCTGTCCACTTTTTTATTTGTGACATTTGAACATACTGTAGTCTGAACTCTAAAGAGCCAAACAAAAAGACATTACTCCAGGGCCTTTGGTCAAGAGAGATCCCAAAGTACCACCTCCTCCTGATACCAGCAGCATTGGCATGCTGTGGTGCTGGTCATCTAGTCAAGCCTGCAGTAGCAGTGTGCTGTCTTCAAGAAACAGTTTTCAAAATATGAGTGGCAAACAGCTGAACTTGTTGCACTTGTTGGTGCATGGGCAGTAGAAGGATTTCTTTTTTCAATCATTGGGGTTGCTGTGTGGCTAGGCCGTAGTGATGGGGCACTTTTAGAATGGGTGTGTCAATCGGACCAAGAGGGAAGGAGGAGATTGGAGGTGGGAGCCACTGTAGCCATCAAATAAAAGTTAGTGTAGAGGATTGGAGAATGGGAAGGTAGCTAGAGGAAGACCCCCCTCCCCAGAAATCTCTTAACCAGTACCCCCACAAACTTTAGGGTGCCTCTTCATAAGCCTTTTCATTCCGGTCTAGAATTGGAGAATCATAGCAATATCAAGTACTCAGAAACACATGGGTTTGAACCATATGTGCTGTATGTGAACCATATAGCTGTTCATCCTGATTGTGATTTTTGGTGGGACTAAAGGGTTTAAGTTCCTTGATGAATCCCTCCCACCTTCTGAATGCTGGAGGAGTCTCATCTCTTCTTTTGGTACAAATGGGTTGTTCAGTCACAGTACAATTAACAGTCAGATAATTAAAATGTAATGCACTCATTGCAGGTATACCAGCTTTTCTGCTGGATTGTAGAATTTTTTGCTAAGTTTTTGAATTTTCCTAAGATTAGATGAAAATAATATACATTTTAAGTCTTATATTTGCTAACACATTATGGTTTGTTGCTGAAGTGTTTGTTCACAACTTTTGATCTCTGTGTACCCTCCCTAGGATTTTAACATTATGTCATCATTCTCCAATATGGGTTGCGGACCAAAGCTTGGGAAAATTATGCATTAATATGTCTGTACAATCAATGTGTGTCAATCAGTGCACATCAATATGTGTACAGAATACGTGTATAGATCCAGTATAAAATTCTTAACTGTGATAGCTAAATGGAACCTCTGTATAAACCTTTGAAAACAAATGCCTTGTGACACACATCAGATGACAACAGCCTCCTTTATATTATGCAATTGGCCAATTAAGGAAGGCTATTCTTAAGGAGGAATTTACATTAATGTATTATTTGAACCTGCTCTGCTAAAAATCTGCGGGTCACTTCAAGTATCAATTAGTGAATGCTTTGGGGATTTTTTTTTCCTTTGGTTTGGTGCTCAGGAATCTCCTCTTCTAAATAAGGATTGCAACAGATAACACTTTTAAACTGCTTCCTTAAACTCAGTTTCCTGAGTGCTGTGAAAGCAATTTTAGTTTTGGATTGAGACGTATGATTATATCATTCATGGTCACCTGAGAGGAAGAACTTGTGATTCAGTCTGGTCTTGAGGAGACTCAGTAGTTTTTAATTGCTTCATTGGAAGTAAATTATAATTTAATTACCCTGGCTATTTTCTGATACATGTGAGTGTCTTTCTTAAAAATACTGGATTATAGTCAGCAATTGTGGTATTAGCTGATCCTTCTGAAAGTTATTTCAGGTATTAACATTAAATAGGAAAAAAAGCACATAGGAAAGTTTTAAAAGGATTCTGAATACATTTCAGAATTACTAATATGATTAAAACAGAGGAAAAGGGTAAGATGTGTGCATTGTATTGGTTTGAAAATCTACAGTATTCAGTGAAAGACATTTTTAAGAACTGAACGTACAAGAATAATCTGAGGATAGATTATTTATATGTGTGGTATTAGAGTAAATCCATGTTTTCTTTCTCTTTTTTCTTAGTTTGCAAATATGTTTGCCACAGGAAATGTGAACCAAAGGTAAGCTTTTTTCTCTCTCTCTACTATTAACGATGTTTATATTCCAGTTTTCCTCCAGAAGTTCAGCATGCTGTATATAGCACTCCCTCCTCCCCTTTTTCCTCACAACAATAACCCTGTAAGGTAGTTTGGACTGAAAGGGAATGGCTAATCCAGAGTGACCCAGTAAGCTTCCCTGCTGAGGAAGGAATTGAACCTGGATCTCCTGAGACTAGTCCAACTTGTTAACCATAGTCCTACACTGGCAGAAGCCTTGTAAGACGATCAGAGAGAGCCTTTTCTTCTGAGCTGTGGTACAGATAGTCCCCAGGTTAAGAACGCCTGGGTTACAGACGAGTCATAGTTAAGAACGGAGCCTATTGTAGCAAAATTAGAATTAAATACACAGTGATTCAAGTTCAATACACAATGGTTTGAGTTCATTGCATAATACTACTTACACAGTACTATACAATAATACTGTTCTGGCTTACATACAAATTTGACTTAAGGGCAGACCTTGGGAACGGAACTCATTCTTAAACTAGGGACTACTTGTGTAGAGACAAAGAATGACAAAGACTTTTCAGTATCTGCATCTGTTTTCCTATGTAGGAATCAACCATGTCCCTGGGCTACTGGTTCTGATTACACTTTATACCAAGTTTTTCCACTGCTACTTGATATTTCAGAGGAACTAGAAGTAATAACGATCAGCTTACTGTGAAACCCAGATGTAATTGGGAGATTACATAACAGTCTGTAGTATTTTAAATGAATATAATACAGAGATTTAATTACTGAAATAATTAAAAATATATTGCCACAAATACATTCTCTGGAATCTAGTAATAGCATCCTTGTGCTAATCCATATGTATTTCCCATGCAGTCATCCCAGACGTACACTCTTTCTGCATCTGAAGATTTGTGGGATATTTTTTTTATCAACTTTGTACACAGTTGCAATTTATTCAGGCTTCTAATGATAACCACATCAACATACAGTAACATAGTTAAAACATCTATGGTAATGCACATAAATGTCCACATAAGAAAATAATGTGAAAAATAAATTAGTAACGTATTGATAAAATAAAACAGAGCAACCTAATATTTAATACCCTTAAAATTTATGACAAATACTTTAGAGAGTACAGTCAAATCTAGCATCAATTGGTTGAGACACTGTATGTCTAAATAAGCATTTCAAAGTATCAAGAAATATCAGAAATGTTTTAAAAGGATCAGCCTTGTAAATTATTTTTAGAACATTAATAGATACAGATATATCTGCATTTTAATAACCTAGTTGTATTTCTGTCTCACATACACATATATACATAACAAGTGAGTGTTATGAAGGAAACAAGTTATATTGTAGTGAGAATAATGCAGTAAATTCTATGGTAAATAATTACAAAAACAAGCAGTTTTAACAAGTTAGTTATGTATAAAACAGAACATTTGTTTTGAGTATTATTTTTTTTTACTCCTGTGTGTATTCTTATAAGGCATTACACTGCAGCATTTGCATTCTGTTTATTCATATCTTCTCTGTTTGCATTAAAAAAAAAAACACTCCATGAACACCTCCATGCACATATCCTAAAAAACATGTTTAAAAAAATTAGGCTACATATTATATTATTTTAATGAAGAAAAACACAGAACCAAAGGAATGCTTATGATTGCTGAAGATTTTAGAGCTGCTGTGTTGATAATTTCAATAGGATTTTGAGGAAGGAGGCATTAATAGAATATGAGGCATTAATGAAAATTAAAATCTACAAATTCAGAACAGATGTCAGGAAGTAGTTTTTCATATCAATGGCAACAAATAGGAAGATCAGTATTTTGGCAGGATTGTTGAGAGAAAAAGCAACTTGAGCTAATATTCTCCTTAGGAAAATGAAGCCCTAAGTGAATTTCAGTATTCTCTTACATCTAGTTGTTTATCTACTGTTGCTGAGTACTGTTTTAAAGTTGGCTGCATCAAAACGTTTTTTAGGAGAGAGAACTGTTCCTAAATTATTTTATGTATGTATGTTATCATGGTCCAATAATGGGCCTTTGTGTGTGTGTGTGTGTGTGTGTGTGTGCCTTTGGGTCCGTGTTGACTCCTGGTGACTGCCTGGATAAGTCCCAGCAGTTTTCTTGGCAAGATTTCGAAGTGGCTTGCCACTGCCTGCTTCCCAGGACAGAGAGAAAGTGACTGGCCCAAGATCACCCAGTTGACTAAGTGCCTAAGGTGGGACTAGAACTCATGGTCTCCTGGTTTCTAGCCTCATGCCTTAACCACTACATCAAACTGGCTCTCCTCAATAATGGGCCTAAGTTTGTATTTATAGTCAATTTCCCCATTTTTAGAGTATGTGGCTGTTGAAGGAGGGCAATAACATGGGCATAAATATGCTGTTTTAAGAATGTATGCTATTTGTTTTGCAACTAGAAAATCAGTAATAGAAGTCTTACCTTTTTTAATTTCCCAGAGCTCTTCATTCTAGTAAACTGAGTTGTAATGCTAAATGATTTTGATTAGCCAAAAAAAAGAAAGAGGGGAGAGAGAAAGGAAGGGGGAAAAAAGAGTTTTGGTTTCTTCAGCTGCCTGGTAATTTAGTCAGTAAAAAGACATTTGTTCACCCTGAGGTCTGGTAGCAGTGCAATAAATAAGGTTACATGAAAAACTGCTGCAAGCTGGCAAAATAGTATCATTTTCATTTTCACCTGAAACATAAAACATAAAGTTTTCCAAGTTCAGCACTGGTAATAATAATGTTTTGATTTTTGCCACTGCACTTAAAATAAATTGGTTTTCTCCAGCTGTAACAAATTAAATAACTAAATAGATAACATTCTATTCATTCATTTGCACCTTTAAATAAATAGATTTTTCTCTAACCTTTCAATTAGCACCTAAGGCCATTCAAGTTGTTTTGATATGCGAGCCATAAAATCCTAACTGTACTGTCTTTATTCATATGCATAATGCTAAGACATAATGCAAATTTGGGAGAAAAGTGGGGCGGGGGCAGGATGATATATGAACAAGTTTCTATGGCATCCCATTGTGATCTTAATTACTGTACCTGGCTTAGTCCAATGTGTGAGCTCACCCACTCTCTACTTCCCAGTCAGAAACAATACAGCAAAATTATATTTTTGTCCTTAATTTTGAGGTAAGCTCCATTTAAACTCGTGAGACCTGTTTCATCTCAATGTTTTTATGAATGAGTGGAGATTGGTTGCAAAAGGTGTAGGGAGCATCAGGAGGGCCAACTTACAAGCTTTGCAGTAGAATTTGCCCTTCAGTATCATTTCTAAAGATTTTTCGAGGACACTCCGATCCTGTGAAGAAGTTAGGGTATTAATTTGTCCAGTGTTTTATTTCTGAACTTGTCATTATTAAATAACTTGGTTATTAAATGTGTGACTTGGCCAAGAGTAGAAGGAGGCATTTTGTGAGAGTTAACATTTTCTCAACCAAAAAAAGGGTAAATATTTGTTGCTCTGGCTTTATGTCAATCCCATTGAAACCTGGCGTTAAGAATGTTCACCGCATATACTAATGCAGATCACTTAAATCTGAAAGTACGTACACTATAGGGCATATATTTATTTTAGTTTATGGACAGGCTCAAGATAACTGGTCTCATGCCTCATGCCTAGACATCTTAGCAGAGTACTGATTACATCAAACCCCAGGGAATATAGTACTGTATTAATGACCTGAAAACCACCTCTGGGCTAACTTCCTGTATTGTTCCGAGTTGGTTTAGTGGAGTTACTGCCAAACACACACATTTATTACTCCCCCACATTCTGAGGTTTATTTTCCTTTTTTTTATAAACAGCACAATTTATAAATGTGCCTCTAATGGCGATTTCTTTTCAGAAGTTGGCCTGACTAATCCATTAATTTAAAAAAAAAGGGGGGGGGGAGAATCAGCATCATGTTCGTATGAACTTCTTTTATTTATTGTTATTATGGGATACATGTTTCAAAACTTGGTTCAAAGAAGCCCCCCTCGATTGCAAATTTGGTTGCTCACTGAAAGATGATTTAGTATATTACCATTGCTTGTGCCCTCCACAGAAATGTTCTGGTTTTACTGATGAAGCTGATTTTTTTTTTTTAGATTTTTTTATCCCGCCTTTATTATTTTTATAAATAACTCAAGGTGGCGAACGTACCTCTTTCCTCCTCCTGTTTTCCCCACAACAACAATCCTGTGAGGTGAAGTTGGGTTGAGAAAGAGTTATTGACCCAAAGTCACCCTGCCGACTTTCGTGCCTAAGGCAGGACTAGAGCTCACAGTTTCCAATTTATACCATTTCAAAAGAAAAGCAAACATGAATCTGAAATAAAGCAAATCTAAAAAAATAAAATAATCCAAAGTAATTGTATTAGTTAAAATTCTGAGTAATCAGCTCAGTATCTGCTAAATTCTATAGAATAGAAATGGAGGTTTCAAAAACCTGCCTGTAATCTGCTATATTTTTCATTCTAATAACTTCGGAAAGGTAACATAACACCCTTTCCAGAGAAAGAAATCTATCCTTGATTCAGAGGGACTGACTATTTAGAAACATTTTCTTAAATAAACCTGATAACTTTAAAGGTGTTAAGTGGGTATTTTGTCCAAATGACAGCAGTAGAAGAAAACATACATGATTTCATCACAGTAAATCTCATCCAGAAATGCTAGCTAAAGTTAAAGTAATTTTACTGCAACTATCATTCATTTATAGGGTGCCTCTGTTCTTATTAACAAATAAAATAAAAAAATAAATAAAATGTATTTCTTCCCCATGTAAGAAACCACTGTATTTTTGCAGCCTACCATAGCATAGTCCTTGCTACACAGGCATGATTCTCTGTTTAAATCAGTCTGTCTTTCTAGTTTATTTCTTAATCACTTAAAATAAATGATGTTAATTAAGTAGTGGGTCTGAATATCAGCTTCGAGTCTTTAGTTAACAGCATAAAATTGTTTAAGGTTGGTTTAGGACTTATTTCAC